GTAATTTTGGGAGAGGTACAACTTTGAAAATTATTTCCTGCATGTTAAGGATTATTGACATACAAGGAACTCACACTGAGGCAGTGTTCAGAGTGGACAGATTATGTTACGTATTTTGCAGACAAACTTGACAATTTTGAAGCCACAGTTTTTAATTACCTTTTACTAAAAATAGTTTCTAAAATTTAATAATAGCTATAGCTGTACTGTGCAGTTTGTAATGCTGCAGAATGCTTGTTTTAGAAGTGTTTACCAATTCTTGCCTSCTGTCAGTCTGTCTTCACTTGGCAAGTGGACTGTAGATGTATTTAAACACAYACCAGCACTGCTCTGTGCAACTGCTCAACTTCAGCATTTTTAACATTTCACCAAGAACTGAGTGTAGAAAACATGATGATAGTGGTTTACCTTTTCAAGTTGCTTATTCAATAGCTAAGAAAAAATAGAAGAAGGTGGAAGACTATTCTGACCCTATATACGYATTACTGTTAATAATCAACAGCAGGTAGTCATATAGACACAGCTTGAGATTGTATTTTACATTATTATCTAAGTAAATAAAAAGACGGCAGAAAAGGTAAGATTAAAGAGAGGTGTAAGACTCTGCCCTTCTTCCTCTTTACGTAGCTGCCACCATCAATTGCCATTCCTGTTTACCATCTTTAATGATGACCTGCAGGATGGAAGAGACAATCAATCAGGAGACAGGGCTGCCATTCAGATGGACCTAGACAGGACAGAGGATGGGCCAGCAGGAATCTCATGAAATTTAGTAAGGGTCAGTGTGCAGTCGTGTACCTGGGAAGGAGGAATCCMAGCAACAGTGCAAGCTGAGAGGATTGGCTGGGGAGCAGTTTTGCAGAAGAGAACTTGGGGGCCCCGGTAGGGCAGCAAAATGAATGAGAGCCAGCACTATGTTTTGGCAGAGAACATGGACAACAGCAACCTGGGCTTTACAAAAAGGAGCAGAGCAAATAGACTGAAGGAAGCCATTCTCCCTTTACTTTGCATTTATTAGACTATAACTAGAATATCGTTTTGCACCCCAAATTCAACATCCGGAATTCAATGTCTTAAAAGGATTCTAAGTACAGAATTTATCTATTGTAATGTTATTACTGACTTTATTTTTCTTTTTAGGATACAGAGATAACTGCAATATGTGATGTTACATTTACAGGCTTTCATTGTGGTTATGTAAAGCACAACCTCTCCTTGGTCCAAGAGTTCTGTTTGGAGTTAATCTTCCATACACTGATAGAATAATTTGAGAGCTCTAGTAAGGTAATAGGGAAAAGAATTATTATATTGTTGGTTGATTAACATGTTTTGAACTTGGTTAAGTCAAAGGATACATGGAGCACATTCTTCATACTGTACAGCATCCCAAAAGAAATTGAAGGTGGTCACTAACTAAAAACTGGCACACAAGGCTCTCCTGCCCACACCCAAATAGTGAAAACACTAAAAGGATTTATATTTTGTTTACATCTAGAAACTATGAACTTTTAATTTACAAGACATGGGGTCGTGACTAATATAGTATAATTGTCCTTTGATGTACTTAAAGTAAGTACTATAGAGGTCAATTCTACGGTCTATTATTTCATATAAAGGAAAACAGTAAGAACTTAAGATGTTTTGATTGCAACAACAATACACTGTATAAATAGGGAATTTGGTGTGATACTACAGTAATCTCTACCCCAAGAYTGAAGTTACTGGAAAAGGAAAACTAAAAGGCTATCAAATCAAGAAGTCTGTTTTCTGGGAAGGAAGAAGACTAGGCTACAAGGTGTAAAACTTCCCACTGTACTTAATTCCCACTCTACCTAAACTCTGTGGGCAGAATTTAAGAAGTCCTCTTTCCACATTTAATTTAAAAGAAATACCAAAGGTATTACACTGTCAGTTACTCTAAGTTTTATAATGGCAAAGTTCTTTCCTAGTAGTACAGGTCAGCTGGTAGAAAATTTTTCCATCRTTGGTATTGACATCTTTATATAATTTTTTTTCCTTTTGACAGACTTTGTTGCTTACCTTGCAAATAGAAATGCAAATATTCCTGCTCAGTGATAATTCTGCTCCCATATTATTTAGCCCACAGATTTACTTTTCTAGTTTCTGATTCTTTAGAAACAAAAACTCCTTCCCAAAAACTTTCACTTAAAGAAACACACTATAAACAACTTTCACCTGATACAACATGCTGTATTTAAAAGGGCARCCAAAACACACTTTCTTTTATTTCTAAATAGATTATTGTAAAGTAGGTTGTGCATCTTTTATAAATACTGTCTGTGTTACATGGGGTCTTTTAATCCTTTGCACTGTGTAATTCTGTGGTTTAAAGTCCAAACACAAGAGAGTCAAAGTTAATTTTTATAATATTGCAGTACTCTATTTTATTAAAGACATGCTTTACTAGAATGGAACATTGCTGGAGCAGTAAGCTGTGCATTTCTCCTCACCCCTCTCATCCATACATTTTTGTAGAAGA